GTTCAATATCGATACGAGTATCGTTGCACCCCTACTGATAGGGTCTAATATTTTCACATTTAAAATTTTTTTAAAATAATGAATGGTTCAAAGTAAGATTTGAAACTAGAGACACCAAAAGAAAACCCAAAACAAAACAACTTTATCACAAATTTCATAGCTCAACTTCGCTAATTGGTTGATTTTCTAATATAAACAGGCTTCTTTTTGGGAACAAGTGACGTCGCCCCCTGCTGCCCATTAGACAAAATTAGTTATACTATACATCAGCATTTCGACTTTTCTGACATGGAAGCTACATCCATCTTTTATATACAGCCTGTGGTTTCCATATTTATTCTGAACCTGGAATTTATAATATAATATAATATAATATAAACTATGGTGCAAGTTGTCAAAATTGTCATGCAAACGATATTTTAAGACTTAGATTATACATGTGTCTGTGCTTATCATACATGCTAATGCCACAGTTTTAACTCAAATGCAGTTTTATAGTTACATGTTTATTTAGAAAACTAGTGTTAGATTTTACATTGTTAAGTTTGAAATGTCCCAAAAAAGTATATGTATTCTCAACAACTTGAAACAATGACAGCTTTTTCACAAGACAGTTAATTATATACCACAACCTTGAGAAATTACCAGAAAATTCTACAACACCAAGGTGACTTGTTAAAACAATCTAATTTTGTTTTCAATTTGGTTCACATTAGATGTTTATATTCTCTCTTTTATGCTGTCCTAAAAATAAATGCTGGCACCAACACTTGCAGTAAAACATAAGTATTCATCCAATAAATTTCCTTCTGTCCAACCAAAAAAAGAAAGAATGTCATAACAGAAAAAATAAATTAAAGTAAAGGGAAGATGTTTACCTGGCTCAATGACCTTTCCAGGTGGGTATTTAACAAGCAACTGACGTCCGTCGAGGTGTGTGACTGTGAACTGGAAGCCGCACAGAGCCTCAACCAGGCCGATACGATGAACCATGTGAAGATCGCTGCCATCACGGCGGAAATCCTATTTGAGATATAAAACCCATATTTGTTGCTTAGGTTCATTACATCAAATCGCTTGGATAAATGTAGACTTTATTCATTATCCAAGTGATTCTATTATTAAAAACAGTTTTGTAATCAATAGGAGCTGTCTGTTTTGGGGTACCTCATGTTCTTTCTCTTGCAGCACCAGAACTATATCTCCTGGTTCCATGCCTGGTGCTTGGTCAGCTTCTCCAGTGAATGTGATCTTCTGTCCATGTCTCATGCCTTTGTCCACGTGAACTTCAAGAACCTTAGTCTCCTTACAGACTTTATGACCCTCACACTTTCTGCAGCGGTCCTTTTCATTTATCACTTCACCTGGACAACAACCACACACAGAATAGAAGACCTCAGAGAGCTGTTTTGCTGCGGTTTGTACATTAACTTTGTTTTTAATGTCAGTTTGCAGGTGTGTGGGGATACATTACCCTCCCCATTGCAATCTGTGCAGACTGACTGCATCTGCTGAACCATTCCTGGGGCCAGCTGTCTAATCATGATTCTCATGCCCCGTCCTCTGCATGCTACACACTTCTGCACAGCTCCTGCCTTACCACCCTGACTAAAAGCCAACAATAAAGTATCAGCATTATTATCCATTTAGAGCAACTGCAAATCATTCATCAGACAGCCTTAAAAACTACAAATCAATATAATTTTAACAAAAAGGAAACTCACCCATTACAGGCACTACACAGCACATTCTTACTGAGCTGCAGTTTTGTGGTTTTACCATTGTACAAGTCTTCAAGAGAAACCCTGTAACAACACGATTTGTAAGTACACATACTGCATTACATATGCACCATCCACTGAAGCATCCATCAAACAACAACACTTACTTCAGCGGGTGTACCATATCATCTCCTCTCCTCCTGCCTCCATTGCGTCCTCTTCCTTGTCCCCCCATGAACCCAAACAGTCCTCCACCAAAAATGTGAGAGAAGATATCCTCCATGCCAGGTCCTCCTCCTCCTCCCTCCCGTAAGCCTTGCTCTCCATAGCGGTCATAAAGCTCCTTTTTTTCTGGGTTTGTCAATACCTCATATGCAAAACTTATCTCTTTAAACTGGAAAATGAACAAAGCACAATCAGACAGGTTGAACTGGTGCATGAAGAAAATAAATTCAGTGCACCTCAACAACAGTTCCCTTTTACAAAGCACAAAGGACTTAAAAGAGGCTTTAAGATTTGAGTCATAGAGAAATAAATATATTTTTAAAAAGCATTCTTCTCTAGTGGAAAGCCTGTGTCACATTTTGTACTCTAATCTGTGCCTAGGAGTAATCCTCAAAGCACTGGGCTATGTGATCATTATAAATGGAGGCGACATCATTTCTGCATGCCCAATTGTTGATCAACTGAGCATCCTTTGGTGCTGTTGCTAACACTACTGTTTTGGTGCATCATACCTTGTCTCCAGCTTCAGGGTTCTTGTCAGGGTGGTACTCTTTGGCCAATTTGCGGTAGGCCTGTAATAAACCAAAAAAAAAAAAAAAAAAAATCAGCGTGAAGAAAGCTGGGTCACAGACCTAAGCTCATGTGCCTGTAGCAAGACGCTTCAATTAGCTTGCTGTCTAAAACAACAGGACATAGTCAAGATCATGGTTGCATGTAACATGTCAGAAACTCAACAACACTGCTTCCAAATATTAACAGCTTTTGACTTTCCAGCGTTATTTTGAATCCCGATAGACGGAAATACAAGGTCTTTATTACGAGACAAAAATAAGATGAATACACAAGCTGTATAAGTTGTGTTATGTCGGGTTTTGCAGAGGACGCAGCAGTTGTCAAATATGAGCCATTAGCATCTGCTTGATGTTTGAATGGATTTTAAAGGGAATAACGCCTGGACGTTGGCTAATGTAGCAGCACGAATGGTGGCATGAACGTTAGCTTGTGACCATCACACACGTTGTTTATAGCGTTGCCTAACATCAATACTGATAAGCATGATCAAGTATTACACTGGGGTTGGCAGTTTATTAAGCTAAGTGTCTCGTTTAGCGAGTGTTGTTTCGTTACTGAGTTGGTGGGGACTATTTGCTGGAATTTAGCATTAGTAGCCGGCAAGCTATCACACTCGTGTTTACCAGTGTTATCTCTGTTTTCAAAGAGACTAACTTCATCCTTATCACGTATTTAGAAACACTTATAAGCAATCATTTAATGCCAATGTGTCGCTTAAATTATGTTTAAAAGTCCGGTGATGTATCCCGCTGTTATCCAGCTCATTTTACTGGCTAAGCTAGCTAAACATCCATTAGCTTGTTTGTAGGCCACATTTGCTCTGGTGACCTCTCTTCCTCTTTTTTCAATTTTGTTTGAACTCCAAGACATTCATTTCACTGTAGCATTTACGTACCTTTTTAAGTTCATTTTCAGACGCAGACGGCGAAACTCCGAGGATGTCGTACAATTTAGTATCCACAACGCCCGACATGACGCTAACCGGCAACTACAGAGAGACCTTCTCCGGAGGAGGTTCAGCTGTGCGACGATACGCGGATCTACCGGCTGGGACTGTCCGGACTTTTGCCAGAAGCAGCACAGACAAACACCCCATGACAAAAAGATGCTGAAACATGGCACATACTTATTATTCCAAAACAAATACATTTTCGTTTAATGTGTATGATATACGTGTAATTAATCACCGATTTTGTGTGTGTTTACAAAAAAAATACATTAGGGACTGTGTTAATCTGTTACAAAACATTGTTTAAAGCATGAAAGTCACACTTTCCACATTGGTAATCTGGTTAAAAATATGTCCCAGAAGATACATTTTCCGGACTTATTATATGTTATGGTTATTTTCTTTTAGAACTTTGAGTGTACCATAATACCACCACGCTCAACAGCTCTAAGCCTTGCAGTCTTTATTTAAGCTGAGCCTAATAGCCGTTAGGCTGACACAACATAAATGTAATTTTAACAAAATCACTGATCAAATATCAGTCAGTGTGAAGATTTTCCATCCTTTCATGCATTTTCTTCTGCTTTTACTAGACTTAAATCTTAATAACTACAAGTGGCTCTAAGCCTGATAACGTTTTCTTCTTCTTCTTTAAAAAAAAGAAGCCAGTAAACAAACAACGAAAGTCCAGACTATATATACAAGAAACCACGAGCAAAAAGAACTTATGGAGCATACTGCACAAAGGAACCGAAAACATGAGCTTTGGCACAGGAATGACTACCTGCACAACACAAGAAGGAAACCATAACACATGCTGACCAAGTACTCTTGCATTTGACACAATGCAGACTATCCCTCTCCTTTCTTCTGTATATTTATCTCATTCTATATGCACACATAAACCAGTCCATGCAATGGTATGATAAATATAAAAGAAACTGAGTTACTAGACAGATTGGTGTGCAGCATATTTCCTCAACCGTGGCTTTTAAATTGCCTTAAGAGCAGAATAAAGAAAGCTTGTATGAGAGTAACTCGTTCATTCATAATAAACTAAAGCAAAACTAAACATTTTTCAGCAATAAAACCTAAACTGAAACAAGCATACTGAAACAAGTGACTCCACCCTGTGATACAGCTCCACGGTGCAGCTTAAGACAAAATATAATTAATGAATATTCAGACCCGTAACCCTACACGGTGGGAATTCATGTGCAGGTAGAAAGGGACATGTTCAGGTGTGAGTTTTCGTAAAAAAATCAAGCCGGAAAAGACAGTCCCTGCACTTGTCGCTTACTTTAGGTGCACAACTAAATAATTTTCCTGCAATATTAAATAAATGCTCATGTATGCATTATTGCATTCTTCACCCCAGTTTTAAACTTAAAGTGTTTATTTTCATAAAGAAAAAAAAATGTTTGAGAGCATGGATGTGAATATTAAATGTTGCTGCAGTGCTTGATGACAGCAGATAAATATGGACTTAGTGGATGTTTACACAGTTGATGGACAGCCGAACTTTTTGATTACGTTTAGGTTTTAGGTAGTCGCCATTTTGATTTCCAAACCTGACTATTTTTATGTATTTTTTTTCCCTATTTGGTCCTTTGGACTCCTGAATAATAATTTACACCGTGTCAACACAGCCCTCCCAGCAGCAGCAGAGCTAGCCGCTGAGTAACACGGCTGTGTAAATGACATTGCAGCCGGTGGAAAGGGTAGTATCGTTAAGCTAACAGCGCAGCCCTGAATAGGCTGCGATGGGCCTCCGAGTGACCTGACAACAAAAGTCGCCGAGTTGCAGTTCAGCTTCCAGATGTCCACAGATTAAACAATGGCTCAAAGGTAACGGTGGTATGTCTTTTTGGGAGGTAAACATGTGTAGCCCAACGTAAAGCCTGTGCAAGCGATCAGAAGACGGTGACTTCAAGCTAGGTCTGAATCAGGAGCACGTCGTCCGACCACCTAGCTCATCAGCGGCGATAAATACTGACCTATATTAGCTTTAATCTGAATGTGGTTTGTCTCCAGTAAGAAATAATTATTTTTTATTTTTTTTGTGGGGGGGGGTGTTAGCAACTCGACTGTTGCACTGCTTGCTTTGCTAGCGGGCTGCTTTACGATCTGCAGTCAAGGTAAGTGAAAGTGGTTAAGGGAGACAGTGATAAAGGAGATAAGTTAACGTGGAGTTAAATGCACGGATTCGCTATCTAACACGGCTCCACGCTGACTTGACTGTTACCCTGTTATAACTAAAATCCGCTAACAGCTCAGAGTAACCGTTTACAGCTGCTCTTAGGACGCCTTGGCAGGCCTGTCACGGTTATGCTGTTGTATTAAATTTTAAAATCCACAGATGGCAATGACGAATCTGTAAACCCAGATTCCCGAGACACCTGTTTATCCCCTGCGTGTTTGTTCAAGGGATGTGTACACAAGGGTGGCGTACTCCGACACCGTTCAATGTTATGCAACTACTTTTAATGGTCTCTAGATATGTGTAAGTTATTTCCAGCCATATTTTGTGCTGTAAAACGATACGCTACCCTCTTGTTTTCTCGCGTTGACGAGAGTTTGTTTGTAAACATGTGTTTGCATCTAAGAGATAATGGACTCATGATGGATGCTTCGTACAAAGTGTGGTCTGATTTGGTTTAGTTTGCGGGGTGGGGTGGCTTTAGGTGAATATTTAAAGCCTTAACAAAGCAAGCAACATTTCCTGCCTCTTACAATATTCAGCTGTCATCACCACCACACCTAGACTCAAGTTTGCTAGCTCCCAGAAACCTCCCATACTCAGGCATTTCTGTCACCGAAGGGTCAGTGTGTGCATCTTTCTTATCTCCAGTCATTCTTTGCTGATGCAAGTGCATGTGTGAGTCCCTTCCCTAAGCAAAGTGGTTAATGTTAATACACGAATGAGCAGCAGTAACTCAATTACAGATGCATTGCTTCCTGTTCTTTCCAGAGAGGAGTCCAAGCCTCTTAGCCTGAGTTCAGCCCTTCATCTAGCTCTGAAGAAGGCAGAGGCAATATTACTGTAAATGATTCTCCAACATTTGTTGTTCATTTTGCTGCTTCCCTTTTTTGGGTTGAAGGCAACTCTGCTGGGTTGGTGTGTCTGGTGTTTAGAATGAGTAAAGTGGGTGTGTTTCCACCTTCGCTATACTCAAATGAATATTGTCTCTGATGTACAGGTTGCACAGTGTCTGTGAGGCAAATGGCTCTTTAGCAAGATCCAACTGAGTATACTTCTCCTTGTCCAAATGTAAGCATTCATAAATAAATTAAACTAAATCAAAAATTAACTTTTGCATGCATTCTACACCATCCTGTTGCTTATCTCCGCACCACATCCTCTTTTGCTCAACAGCAGAGTGTATGCTACGGTGACGTCAGTCATGTTTTGGAAGTTTGATTTACACACATCTTCTCATCTGGAGGCTTTACTGGACAAGGAGGATGTCACTCTCGCTGAGCTCATGGATGAGGAGGATGTGCTGCAGGAGTGCAAGGCCCAAAACAGGAGGTCTGTTTAATGTCTACTTTGGTGTAGCTGCAAATTATTACCACATTTTGCATAATCAATCACCTTTGCTGTAATGCTTACTAAATTAATAAGTTGTGCTTCTTATGTCACCGTTGTGGTTTTGCAGGCTTCTTGTGCTCTTGTGCCAAGACCAGAGCATGCAGGAGCTGGTTCGACTGATTACTACAGAGCCCCCTACTGGTGTAGAGGAGACAAAGCGCTTCAAGTAGGTGCTGTTGTGTAGAATATTCTAATGTAGTTTATTATATTCAGAGTAAAAATATATTCCTGGTGCTGCACTACATTATATATCCATTACCAGCCACTTTGTAGATGAGCCTTGATTTTAAGAGGATTCAGATTTGCTTAAACAATGTTTTTAATCCGACTAAAAGAACAGAAATGATTCCCTTAAATTAGCAAAACTATTTAATTGCCCGGTTGCCAGCAAACCAATGAAAGTCCTGTCCAGGTAATTTTTTATCTTGTTTTGTTTTTCTTTGAAGTGGAAAATATGGCAATAATTTTGTTCCTCCATCATTTTACTGCAATATATGTCCATGCCATTTACAACAGGTATCCAAATATAGCATGTGAGCTGCTGACAAGTGATGTGGGAGTGATCAATGATAAGCTGGGTAATGAGGAGCCACTGCTGGAAAGCCTGTATGCCTTCCTGGAGCAGCCATCCCCACTTAACCCCCTCCTGGCATCCTTCTTTAGCAAAACTATTGGGAACCTCATCACACGGAAGACTGAGCAGGTAACACACACGTACACCGCTACATCAAAAGGGCATGCTTAATAAAGATGACGGTTACATTTTTGTGATGTTGTTGTCATTTAATAAGTCTGAGGCAAGTTAATGGAAAATACTCACAAAAAATGTACTTTCACCCAAAATTGTTTTAAAATTCTGTTTCTTTTGAGGTGCCAACATGCATGGTTTGTTTTACCCTTTTAGTGTCCGAGTTGATGATTTTAGTGTAAGATTGCTTGTTTATGAAACAACACATAATCAAAACTGTCCCGTATCAGAAGGGAATTATTTTAGTGAACCATTATTGTCCAAAACAACTTAACTCAAAAATGAATGGCTGGACTGCAGCTTATATAGTCTTCCATTTAAGGCTAACATTCCTGCTTGTATTAAGCCAACTAAAACATAAAGAAAGCTTATTACCTCTACATTTCATTTGCTCTGAACTTTGTATATATTTGTGTGTGTGAATAGAAGCTCATTTGATTCTGATGTGGGGTTTCAGATTTTTTAGAGTAGCTTTTTAAGACTTTAAGTAAGGCAACTATCTCACCTATCTCATGACCATAAGCGACAGTCACTGGGGCAGGGCGCTAACCCAGCTGTCACCGGGTGAAACAGAGTACAACCCGAACAGTCGCTCATGATGAATTGAATCATAATTGAACTGAATCTGAATCAGAATACTTGAAATTATGTGGTTATAGTTGCTCCAATGCATTAAGAACAGTAACAAATTTAATTAAACATTACAATATATTACAAAGTTACAAAAAATAATAATAAGTGTGTGTCTATAATGGTTTATCTGTCTTTGTACTACGGTGTCACCCA